TGAATTAAAAAAATAATTAAAGTAGAACTGAGGGATTAAAGGGGGAAAAAAACACAACATGTTTTGAAAGTGATCGCCAGTGTTGAACAAAATTTCACACACTGCTGATTAATGCTATTGATTGATTGAAATAGACATGCCAAGTATTATTTTCAGGGAACTTTTCAGTGTAAACTTTTAAGATCCCTTCACCCTTTAACTCCCAGGATCTCATTAGTAATTCTCCTTATGATCTGCCATACAATTCTTATGATGTTAGTTTAGAGAATTTGGTATTAGATCAACTACATGTAATAATCCCCTAATTGATATTTTTCTTGATTCTCATCACTTGTCTGCTTCACTTAGTATTAATAATGTAGGGAGATATTCTGTCTTGGTCACTGATAGGAATTAGAGGGTTAAAATTGATTTAAAATTTTGGCTCTCTCTTTGTTATTCAATCAAATTTCTTGTCCACAGGTAGGTAGGCAGAGAAAGTTGACTGCCTGTGTTGGAAATCTACTGGTCCCACACAACCTCTATAAATAAAGTTGTAAAATAATTCATTCTTCTTACCTCAACCCAGTTTGTGAGCCAGGGACAATTGGGATCTGTGTTTTGAACTGTAAACAAAACTGGAAAACACACAAAGGTTAATTTGATAGTAAACATTCATCCTAATACAGCTGTAGAGATCCTAAATGGTGGCCCAGTTTATGTTATCAACTCAGTATATAAAACCAAATTATCTATGAAAGAACAAGACTTTAATGGGTTACAACTTTATCACTATCGAACAAATCACTCAAATTACTTGGAAATCTTGCTAATTCTACTAAGCTTTTCCCACTATGTCAACATATTTCCACTGACTGATCCAAGTCAAAGATCTGAAAACAAAAAAATAAATAAATAAATAAACAAGGGGTCAGTGCTTACCATTTTTAACAGGAACCACTGAACCTTCAGGTACAGCTCTTATTCTGAGAGGTAGCTTTCCTCCATGCTTTTCCAAGATGTACTTCCAACCTTTGAAAAATAAAAATAATACTTTCAATTAAAAACTGATTATCTTTAGCAGGTGCAGGCTACATGTCCTTATTTTACTAATGAGGGTGAATTTAGATTATAGCTAGCAAATCTTTAAATGGTCAATAAACAATTTTCTCCCTTTAAGCTGGATAGGCAACTGGTAGAGGGACCCTTCTACCTTTTGGATTTTAAAGAATTTCAGTAATTTTAGGAGGAAATAAGTGGCACAACATACAGTAAATTTTTACTGTTTACCAACTGAGAAGGAGGACGGTGTTTAACCTATTAATGTGATGCTTGTTTAGGGCTAATATGGATCCATACAATATGAAAACTTGATGTGGTAGGGGTTTACTGTGATTAAGTTTAGACATCTTTTTTATAACTGGATTTTCTTAGAGACAGAAAAATGTACAGAAATGTTTGCAGAAGGTAAAATCAAGTAAGTATTAGTTATATTTTGGGCAACCTTGAGAGCTTAGACTTTCCTAGCGAGAAATGTCCATCAGGAAAAGATTGTTCAAACTGCCAACAAGGCCTGGAAGGAAATTCATCATCCAAAAATCAAAATTCACTTGCAGTCCAATGTCTAAGCCTCTAGACAGGTGGAGTCCAGAGTCCCACAAAATTTGCAGCCATTAATCTGCAATCTGCCACATTTTCAAACCAATGACCTCATTTATTTTACAAGTCCTTATTACAAGTGCCTCTAAAGACAGCACCTTGAGTAATTAATGACTTTTCATGCATTCTTGACAATTAATAATATTGATTATTAGCAAATGTTTATTTACCACAATTTAAGGTGGAAAAATGCCCACTATAGATTAACATGTGCTCACCTTCTTCATTGAATAGATCGTAACCAAAATGTAACTTGTAGAATTCTGTTGCCTGCTGAATTTTTTCTGCTGTTACCACTTGACCCTCTAGCCATCTCTATGACACAGACAGAATTAATCAGAATTGAAGAATTGATCATTATAAATAATCTAAAATTTGTACAAATACAGCTGTAGAACTTAAACACTTCCGATGTGCATTTGGGGCCATTACCAACAACAGTTCGACATTTCAAGCACATTATTTATTACAGGTTAAACGTTTAATTTTTTCGACGATTGCTCCGTTGATGACGCAAAAAATAGAAGATATACAATGAATTGTACTAAAATAAATTATTTCTGCTCATGAAGTCCACTTAAAATACTAAGAGCTAAAACTCACAGAGTTTGCGCCGTCAAAGCCTTGTAAACAAATCGACAAACCACGAAATCAAAAGTGAAAGCGTTTTTCAAACAACACACCTTTATCAAGTATTGCAAGCCGAAGAAACACACTTCTGGAAACTTTCCTCCTCTGCTTTCAAAATATGAGAATACTATGGTCGTACCTGATGGATACTGCTTATGATGAGAGACCTGTTTCAGATGAAGACAAAACGTTCGAAAACAGATCGTTCACTACTTCTGGAATCAAACCGGAAGCATGAAATTTTACAAACTAAAGCACCAATAACAGTTTCTGCACTGCAAGGCAGGTAAAGAGCACAAGTAGGCTTTAAGTGATTCACCGTGAAATACAGCCTCTTGAAAGACTTGTCTTACTTTGTACGAGTCTGTGATTAACAGTATGTTCTCTGGATCCAACTTTTTCGCCATTTTGACTTGTGAACCTGTAGTAGTTCTCAGTTTCCCTCATCTTTCAGGGCGCGGTCGGCCATCCCGTCATGGTTTCACCTTTCCTTTCAAGTTTCTCGAACGACTGCGATGCATGTTTACTTACATTCTTGCTTATATATCAATTACAACTGTTTTCTTTACGTTTTATGCTAGTCTGTATCAGGAGATCTGTTAGCAAACGGAGTGCAATAGTAGCGCAGAACGAAAACAACAAGTAGGTTTTTAGACTCACCTTTTCATCAAAACGTTTCGTCATGTTCCCGAGATGTTTTCGGTCTTCCTTCAACTCTGATTTCTTCCTGGAATATTTCGGCCTCTCTTCTGCCAATAAGTTTGTTCTCAAAGATTTTTAATAGAAGTACAGTAGTTATTCCGCTAATAACGCCAAATATAACACTCTGGAATATAGCTTCGAAAGAAAACATGCTGATCAAACGTGTTCGTCTGAGGTTTGCATAATGTGTCCTTATTTATGACGTCATTTTCAGTAACCTGTCACAAATTTCGATGAAGAATTTTTCCTTATTTTTTTTTTTATTTTTCCTTTTACTGGCTATAAATTAAGTAGCTGTGATGGTTGGGGCTTGGGGCTTGGGGCTTGGGGCTTGGGGCTTGGGAAGGTCTCAACCGTTCTAACTTTAAAGCGCCCTGACGAAGGACTAACACTCGAGACATTAGCTTTTAAACTCTAAACGGTGGCCAATTTACGTTATCAACCCAGTTTATAATACTAAATTAACCCGTTCTAACTTTAGTTGCTATTACTTCCTTCGAAGAGAGGTAAACAAGAATACGATCCGAAGGGAACAGATTGCTACCTTATGAAAAAATGATAACAAAACGAAGAAAACACACCCCACAAGACTCCATAATGAGTGACTCAATCCTCTCTCAGTGCATTCCATTCTTCTTTTCCTTGTAGTGCGATTACATTGTTTGAAGGAAATAACAATTTCAGCTCACAGGGTCTGTAAAAGATTACCGTTTGGGGAAATCTTACTTAACAACTGGAAAAACTGTATTCGTGACTAGGAAAAGAAAGTTCCACGGAACACGCGTCTACAGTAAAAAATTACTTGTGGACAGTCTAAGAGTCAACTACAACACAAAATTCTACGTTATCGTGCTCTGAAACGATAATCTATAGATAATAACACCACGCAAGCTCTTTATTAACACTCCAAACCATCTCTTGGTTAAACAACTTACAATACAAGATTCCATTGTATTGACCTGTAAAGTCATGGAAAGTACGGGAAAGCAGCGTCTTATTTAGTCGGAAAAAAAAAAACAAAAAACAAAAAAAAACATTGAACATACGCTCTGCGAAAGTGCTTGCCAAGTTATATATCATATGAAGCGTTTGTTGACTGGAATTGCGAATATTCTGCAAGCATTTGCGCAAGGATTTAATGACCAAATATGGCGCCTATACCCAGAAGAAAATAGCCAGTCTTATACTGTCTTGTCTGTACAGCATAAATGACTCTCAAAAAGGAAAGAGTAACAAATGCTTGTACAGGTTGCTAGTAAATAATTTATATGCACAAAACAACCCTGTTCTGGGGGAGGCTTCACCCACAAGTTACTCAACAATCGATCTAATACGTTAAATAAATATTAAACCTTCTACGTGCAAGCAAACTTCCTTCTACTGCACAAAACTCTAACACATGAAAATTAACTCAAACATTTGGTGCAAAGGTTATTACTTTAACATCCAAACTTTTGGGATTCTTAGTCAGCTTTAACGGTCGTTAGGGTCCTGAGGCTTTGGTCAACGAATAGCGAAACGAAAATCACGCACAACACACACGGAAAGCAAAACGTGTAAGAAAACGACCTTGAAGCCTTGTTGCTTTTCTGCGACGTTTTCCCAGCACGTTTGATGACCGAAATTTTCCATTTCTAATGCAAGTGGAAAAAACCTCGATTTGCAACCTAAAACATAGTTTATAAAGTTCTCTATTTACACACTGTCTGTATTCAGGCCTGGTCTATGTTTAACAATAATACTTAACAATTGGTTCATATGTCAGCGTGCGTTCATCGAGATACGAAGCACGTGGGAAGTTTGGAGAGCACGAAAGATGCGTAAGAGTTGCTCGAGGCGTAGCTGAGAGCAACTCTAGCTTCTTGAGTGCTCTCCAAACTTCCCAAGTGCTTCATATCTCGATGAACGTACAGCTGACGTATGAACCAATTGTTTTATAACACTTTCAACCCGAAGAAAAATTTTTTCCCCGAGGGATTTGTTTGCTGACGTCATGAGCGTGCATATGAATATACGAATATGAAGCAAGCTCGCGCAATTGAATTTGATTAGATAAATTTACTAGCTATGCTACAAAATACATTGAAACGTGCTTTACACAAATTCAAATACAGCGACGAGAGCCTTGTATGTACAAAGATTTCGTCCAGCGATAATCTGTAACCCTACTTGACCAAAATACTTGGAAGAGAGAGGCAATAATACATTAATGTCCAAATGGATTCTACCGCACTTAGAAGTGAAAATATTAAATTATATTAAGTAAAATGTTTGTGTCAAAATTGTCTGTTTATCCTTGTACAAAACTGCTTTACTCTTCCCAATCACTAAGGCGAAAAACAGCCTCACTTCCCATTAAATAAAAGTAGAAGTATTCTCGCGGGCTCTTCTATTTGAAACATCTCGCACTACAGAGAGGGTTTTCAGTATTCAACTAGCTATGAAAAATAGTTTAGAGAAATAACTAAAAACGAATGTCGAATCTCGTTAGTGTAGTCACCTCTGTCTTTCCCTTCAATCGGTCTATAAAATTTCGGCTATAAATACTGCTCATCCAATCAAGTGAACCGATTGCAAATGGTAATAGTCAATTTAGCAGCGGCATATCTGAAGTTTAACCGCTGATGATCCGGCCGCAGCCATTTCATTCGCTGTCTGAATTTTTCTTGTTTTTCTTTCCAATTATCTTCCTCAGGGACTTGCTCATGTAGTATGGCTTTTCCGGGGAGCCGTCATTTCGCTCAGAATCCTCCACTGTATATAACAAGAATAAAACGAGAAACTTAATAGATATAAGAGCGAGCAAGCGAGCGAGCAAAGGAGCGAATGAGCGAATGATCTCACGCATAAGGTATACATCACACTCTTGCGGCTGAAAGTTTGCTAGTGGCTTCTTTCGGAAAAAAGTGATCTAATATTCATTACTAATATTCTATTCATGTCTAAGCAATTCCGATTAACAAAAATGTTGATTTTTGTGAACAGTGTCAATAACGGTTAAAGCTAAAACTGGAAAGATATTAATTTACTTCGAACAACATTACCTGCCAATAAGGGAACATGTTTTGCACCACCAATGAGTTTTGGTTGAGAAAAAAGGGCAAAATCTTCCAGGTATGATATGTAGCGCTCAAAACACGGAATTAAAAAAATGGGCACAAACACAAGTTAAACGAAACTCGTCTCGCTTTGTCCGTTATACCCAATTTCGGTAAACAGTCATGGGGTATTTTCGGCAACGTTGTTATAATCTGTGCCGCTTTTCCTAACAAGACTTGTCATACCTAATAACCCATTACAAACGCGACTACGAAAAAAAAAACAAACTTACAGAATGAAAGGAAGACCGTATCAATAGCCATGTTGTAGACACTGAAGAAAGCTGATGCTATCATGTAGGCGCCAACAACGATGATCTTGAAAAACACAATACAGGAGAATAAGAGGACACATGCAAACCTTGAGGCGAGCCCATTCATTCCTTGGTGAATCAATAACCAAACATGTATCATGTCTGTCTTCCTACCGATCTGTCAATCTGCCCGTCTATCCGTCTGTCTGTCTGTCTGTCTGTCTGTTTGTCTGTCTGTCCGTCCGTCTGTCTGTCTTCCTACCTTTCTACCTGTCTGCCCCTCTAACTGTCTGCTTGTCTGTCTTTCTAGCTGTCTGTCCGTCCGTCCGTCTGTCTGTCTTTCTACCTGTCTGCCCCTCTAACTGTCTGCTTGTCTGTCTTTCTAGCCAGTTTCTACCTGTCTGCCCCTCTAACTGTCTGCCTGTCTAACTGTCTGTTTGTCTGTCTTTCTACTTTTCTGCCCGTCAACCTGTCTGTGTTTGTTTTTCTACCTGTCTGCCCGTGTGTCCGTCAACCTGTCCATCAGTTCCAGTAATCAATGAAAGGAAAGCTCTCCCATGGTCACTTCATTTGCATAACCCCGATACGAAAAACTTGTTAGCGGTTTGCTTATATCGTTGTCAAGAAACTTAGAAGTTGGCATATAATTTATGTCATCTTGGAGACATAAACAGTTGTACTTCTTTATAAAAAATAATACAGAATACTTACAATGACAGGGGCCAAGTAATAGTTGAGGTTTTCTTGTCGTTCGAACCAATAGAAGCTCCCAATACCTGTGTAAGGATAAACAGATAACTATAATAAATAAAAATACAACGACGGAATGGCTAATGATTAAAACTACTTGAAAACGATAGAAAATAAATTGACTCCTTCGTTTCTATACATGACAAGTAGTTAAGTGAACGATTTCCTGTTATAAACTCTCCTTAACAGCTTATGAACATACACCATTTTGAAACGAGTTTAACCAGGCGTGGTTCTCGCGGAAAGGATGGAAATTAACGAATTGCTGTTCCCACATACAACTTAAATTTTAATAAGGTGCATTCAGCTACATTTTTTACGATTGAAATTAAGGGCCGGTTCAGTGGAAAAAACTAGTGGAACTAAACCAGGAGTGGGGGTCAACTTGATTTTGATCTACCTTGTTCAAAAATTGGGGCTTTGGGCTAAACGGTTTGTACATAACTTTTCTGTTTGATATTGCATTGATTTGGTTAGGAGAAATTCTCTCTTGGTCATTCGTGGGAGTTAAGGCTGTAACAGAAAGGAGACAGACTCACCTAGGCCTGCAGCAATAGTCAACTGACCAAGAAACAGAACAAAGTCCGTTACTTTGTCCAATACGGCGACTCTGCAAATGAACAGAAATGATTAACACCCAAAGCAGATATCAGTTTCTTCCCGGAACAAAATCTCTGTAATTCTCTCCACATTATTATCGATACTTGGTTTGGAGTATACCGCCTCGTTGTTGCAAATATGTACAAAGTTACGCCCTCGTGTCTCTGTACCAGAGAAAATCAAAATTGTTATTAAACAGTTGCATCCTCAAATCAACTGTGACTAAGATACCCCCGTGAAATTGTCGATAGCGGAAACTTATGCAAAAAACAACCTGTTATTCTGAAGATCTCCTACACAACTCGGTTCATTTGACCATGAGAATTCTTTCCCGACATAATTAAGCTTTTCACCAAGATGCCCTTACCTCAAAATATTTCTCATCAGGAGGAAAAAAGCATCTTTTGCTGAGACGCAAAAATTCTTGCCGTGTACTGCAATCTGAATCAAACGAGTTGGCAAATTAGTCCAAGCTTTAATCTTTCTGTTGTTTATGGGTACACAAGCAGAGGAACACATTCGAGAATAAATCTCCACCCCCCTGAGTGACCAATTTCTCCTTACAATATCGATACAATATCAAGCAGACAAGTGATGAGAATAAAGAAAAATATCAATCAGGGAATCATTAGTTGATCTAATACCGAATTCTCTGAACTAACATCATAAAAACTGTATAACAGACAGTACGGAGAATAACTAATTCGACCTTGGGAGGTAAAAAGATTTAAGTTGTTCACTTTTCTTCGCAAGATTTGCGAATAACATCTCTGCCAAGTACATTTGATTAAAAAATTAAGAGGAGGTAGGATCAACCATAACAAAGAGGGGGAAAATATGAAAATACGAGGGGAAAACGTTAAGTAACTAAATGACTCTATTAAATCGTTTACAAACCATAATGTAGGCATTCTTGTTGAGAAATTTCAGGAACTTCTCCAAACACCAAAAGCAGCATTTAAGGCACCTAGAAGTTAAAGAAAAAATTCAAGTTACTCATGATTTCCTCGAAATATTTATAAAAAAGGCAACCTCTAACAATCTTTTCAAATAGCTGAAATTCATCTAGTTGTTACAACGACGCAACGGGATGGAATTCACTAGGGTTGAATAGTTCACGAAGCCTTAAAAAACAGGAAAGAATTCAGAGAGAATTTAGCAGAGAAAACAGTTAACAACTTACTTTATGATGTACTTAGTAATTTCACTTTGCTCTCCAGGCCCTGAGAAAGACAAAAGAAGCAATCAGTCACCGAACACTCACAAATAAAAACACGATGATTCTTACCCAGGGGATAAAACAACATACAGACGTTACCTCTGAGCTTGTGATCGATGTACTCCAGTGCTGCTCGGATCAACTGAACGATGGCAATGATAAGAGACCCGAAGGCCAGTGAACCAGTATGGTACCTTCAGAGAGAGAGAGAGAGTAATGGTAAATTTGATTGCTCTATCACTTCACCAACTCGCTATGACCTGGGTTCGAGCCCTGAACCTGGCGTCACATGTGGGTTTAGTTTGTTATTTATTCTCGTCTTAGATCCCAGGGTTTTTTCCCTTCCATATCCAATTAGACACGGAAATAGCGGTGGACAAAGGGCCATTACGTAGAGGTGCAGCTGACAGAGGGAATTATCAGCGACTAGTATTTGGACAATTTTCAATTCAGGGTCGAAAATAACCCGGAGTTAATTTGGCTTTGCTTTACTTCGATGAGAAATTGTTCCAGAAAACTCGCACCAATTTCAGATTAAAAACCAAACCCAATCGCATGGCGCTCTGATAAACTCTTAACTGTTATGATTACACTGAATATCTTACGAAGAGGCCGGCAGAGACGTTGAGCGGAATAAGACATAGAGCCGTTGAAGATCACAAAAGGAGTAGATTGGTGGAGTTCACAAAAACCGATCACAGTGCGACGAAAGTAAAGCACTAAAAGGTTGCATTTACAATGACAAATTGCAGTCAAAGCTTCAAATACAGTCCAGGAGAGTCCATAAGAGAGGAAAAAAATATCAGAAAAAAACGAAATATCAGCGTTACGAAGTTACCTGGGGAGTTTACACAAAACATGACTAAGAGATAAAGTTCTACAAAAATTTCATGTAAAATATCCTACCTTAGAGTTCGGAAGAATGATGCTGTCACTGCAAATTTGGGTATGTCCTGCGATACAGATTGAACAACAAAATTAGTTTGGCAGTACATTTCCCAGTCATGAAGTAAAGCGTTCAAGTAGTGAAAAAAGCCAAAAAATAAATTACAAAAAACTGTGAACCAACACAAAGAATCAACTGTAGATTCACGTAATTTTACTGAGAAAAAACAAAAACAACTTTTTGTGAACACTCACCGTCTTCTTGTCCCAAGCCCAGTAATAGGAGGCAAATGCACCTGCCAGTGCACACTGGCCTAGGGCAATGATGAAATTCATGAGCCAGAACCAGCCAAACAGATGGTAGATTTGCATGCGGAACAAATGGCTGGAACAGATAGATGAAAAAGAAAGATTCTTAACAGTCCTAGTATCTAAGTGAATGATCTGGCCGGTGGAGGACCAATCTTTTCAATTTGACCGGTAAAATAACAAGTTGCTTTTACAATTGACTAGCACCTTAACATTTATTCCCGTGTGTCGTTGGCCTAGTCTAATAAGTTTGGTTTTATCCACTTTATCCAATGTAAATCGGTCACCGTAAAGAGTTTCTATAGCTGAAGTTTCGAGCGTTAACCCTTCGCCAGAGTGAAACTAGTTCAAGTATGTATGTCAGGGCCACAGAGAAGTAGAAAGATGTGTTCACCAGCTATGGAAATGTTCATTGTTAAATAATCATGGCACTTCGTTTCGAGGAAGTCAAGATTTTGTTACTCACTCATCGTTTGCAAAGTCCACAAAATTGCATGTATAGTTGCTGGCAGATCCTATTGCATCTTTTATTTCCTAGAAATGATCGACAGAGAATTAGACAAGAAAGGCATGATCTCAACTCATCAACAAAGAAATTTTTTGAGAAATCAAAGGAGTTTTGGGGAATTCAAGCGAAGGAAACCCAAAAGCATTCAAATATCTCCACCTGAGTACACACTTGTCCATTTTGAGTGTCGTTGGACACAACTTGGTACTGTGGATCACCAGCAGTGACAAGGAAGCTTTAATTGTTAAGGAGGTCAATTAAGACAGTTGGTATGAACAAAAATTCGATCTTCTGTTACAATGAGAGATAATGCAAGCTCGGCAACACTTGATGTTATGAGAACAGAGGACTGTATTGTGAGAAATCAAGTGAAAAGTGAAACAAAATGGTCTGCTATAACTAGGACCGTGTTTGTGACTGTGATGATGGTGAAAATCACAGCATGGGTAGAAATGTGGAGAAAAAGAGGGATGGTGCATCAACTTAAAAATTTGGGGGCAGGGGTTGGTCACTGTGCACATGACAGCCCCTGGGATAACCAGCCCCCAGCTCACCACTGAGGGCATGGTTTTAGGAGTCTGGAGTCTAAAAAGGGTGTATAATTTTATCACCCAAATGAACCCCACCCAAACATCCAATCACACCCCCCAAACCCACAACACATCCAGCCTTGCAGTTGTTAACTAGTAACCGCCTATGTTAAAGTTAAACAACATTTCAAAAGTCAAAGGATACGCTAAGACACCAACAAACCATCCAAACAGTATGATCTGGAGCAGCCAAGGAATAACAGGGAAAAACAGACTAAATGGCATGGCAGATACAGCCCTACAAGAGCAAAGGAAATGACATTTTGAAATGAAAATGAAAACATACATACAATTCACATTAAATGCATGAAAACATAGATTGCATTAACAACAACGCATTGTTGTGATATTCAAGGAAGAATGTGGGTGCAGTCATCATACCTGCTTCCCTCTTTGATGATCTGAATTGCAATAGAAATCCTCTTGTATAAAGCCAGCAGAATCAACACCAGAATTCCAAGGATAACCCCAAGAATAATAGCTGCAACACAAGGAAATGACTGTCACTTCATCTGCATATTATACACAGACGTTTTCATTATGATGATTTTACACAAGGAGTGCCACAGATAACTTCCTAAGCTTTTACTAAACCTTCTCTTTTTTCTGCTTTGGTTTAAATTTTTTGCCAAATTTTAATTTTAAAGGTCCCCTGTTTCAAAATATGGTAACAAATTAAAAATGTCAAAAGTGTGCACAAACTGATTTCAGGCAATGCCACAACCAAAATATATTCAACATCAAAGGCATTGTCACTCATCATGAGTGTTAAGGAGTTAAATGAATTAATTTAAGGATTGCCTCAAATAGATTGTTGGATTTTTGTCAGACCTTGAATAGGATGAAAAAATTGCAAACTGGTACACTGTGTTATAGTCTAAAATAAGGTAACCATTTTGAGAGGTTTGCCACACACTCCTACCCACCATTAGTACTAGTGCCTCCCCTAGGCCATCAGTGCCCAAGAGAAAGACAGCACAGTCTATGACTATTAGTCTATATGACAAGTCGGCTAACAATAAAATCCAAAATTGAATATTTGAGACTAGAATTTTGCCATAAGTGCAATTAAATGCATTAAAAATTTAATTTTGCATCTTGGACATTGGTAGGAGGGAAGATCTACAGCATTGTATGCATAAAACAAGTGTTTTTACTTACTCAGCCAGTACCAAGTTTTTTCACTGTTAGCATATGAATCAAGACCAGTGGACACGCTCAGAACAGTGATTGTGGTGTTACCAGAGTTGGATGACAGTTCTTTGTACTTTGTCCATGAATAATAAACAGCTACATGTTATAAAAATATATATATATTGCATGAATTTCAGTGTGTTGATTACCACCTGTCGTGAATATCCATAAAGAGCTCTTCTCAGTCATAAAGGTGCTGCTAAATATTAAAAAGTGGATTTACACATACTCCACCCATATCATCTGAATAAAAATAATTCACATCATTAATTGTATCAAACATTTTCCAGTAACAAGGCACTTAATTTTTGGGCTGCAGCTAAATTAAAATTAATTTTATTGCAATTTCCTAAGCCTGTATAGAAAATTGTAATTTAGTTTCTGCAAGATTGAAGAGTTTGTCACTCAAGACCGTGACTATTTTAAAACCCTCCTTTAAAAAGATGATGGGATTTCACCATATTGTATTTCTTGAACATCCTCTAAAATTGTCCCTGAATTGTCATCAATGAAATACTAACAACAAAAGACTATAGCCTTGTCTCAACCACAGTAATCCCAGCCCTCAGCTGTGGAAAAAAGGTCTTCAAAATTTTACTGGGTGGAGGAGGCCAAAACTTTTTAAGAGGCTCCTAAACTTGTTCAAATGATGCAATATTTCCCCAACAGATGTCAGAACCTATTTGAATGGATGAGGAACAGCTTCCAAAACAGCTCAAACAGCTGCCCAACTCAACAGAATGGCTGAAAAATGGCAGGTAAACAGAATTCTCTCGAAAACAGGAACTAGTTCCCATATGTTCTCCTATGGAAGTTTTCATTTACTTACCAAAAAATTTCCCAGAACAATTCAATAACAGAAGAGAAAAATAGGCTTCAAGCAAGTGGTGGCTGGAGTGACTTTTTTCTGAAGTCCACTCTACTAGCACATTATTAGCTTTGGACTGTATTAAGTTAAACATTAAATTTCACACTTACAGAAGCCAAGTGCAGTCAAAACAGCATAGATGGTCACCCACACCACAAGTCCAGCAATCCACCTGAAAATGAAATTCCACCAATATGAAGTTTAATAGGTGTGTTTTTGTTTTACTATGTTGCACTTTAAAAAAGAGCCATAATTATCACATTATGATTCCCCAAAAAACAAATCAAATATCTGCAGTCTCACCTCATGACAATAATATACAAGAAAGAAGCCACCATTGCAATTCCCATGGCTCTGTTTAAACAAGACACTCAGTCAGTTATGCATTCAATCTCACCAAGATTGAAAGCCCAAACTCGCTTTACTACCTTAATGCAATGCTACCTGTACATCATACACACAAAACAAGGAACAACTGGTGGGTTTACATACTTAACATGAGTTTTTCACAGCCAATCAAAATTCACAAAGGAAATGTATCTTTCATTTCAGGCATTACTCTTCAACTAATAGATAGCTACTAATTTATACAAAAAGAACAGAGTTCAGGTGGCCACAATAAAAAAGCAGTAGTAGTGCCTATGAAGAATGAGGTTTGTAAAAAGGAATATTGGGTATACAACTGGATATATCAATCAACAACCTTGCAAAGTGTTCATCCAAAATTTATAACTAGTCAACCAAGAAACCAAAAAAATATCTAGCTATGATGTTTTGTCACTGAACTTACGCCAGAATCCAGTACCAGGATTCCTGCACATCTTGTATGATCTACCGCAAACATTAAAAAGTAAAAATTGTTACTTTGATGTTAATGTATCTAAGCACAGGTGCAGATAACAGAAGGCTGAGAAGTATTTTCTTAAGTTTTAATTATTCCTACCTTCTGACCGAGGTTCTGCAGGTTCAGCAATGCCTGAACAGCTCTAAAGAAGGTAAACCAAAGATTAGTAAGTTTCAAACCTGCAGTTGCATGATTATTTCCTAATTAATATTGTTTGTGATGGTGAGCCAATGAAACACTTGTATTAGCCCTTTACACCCTTACATCAGTATTCATATTCTCCATACTGTTCTCTATACATTTCCTTTGGTACAGACAAGGAGAATTTCTTTAACAATCAAAACTTGATTGGTTGGCAATCACTTCTTTTGTTCTCATAATCTTAGTGAATGATTCAGAAATATTACTGTAAGGAGAAATTTGATGCTGGTCACTTGTATGGTTTACAGGATAAAGCACAAGTTAAATACAAAAATTCTGATACTGGATGGAAATAGCAAATATTTGTTGAAAATAAATCTTAGATCTAAATCTAGATCTAGCTTATTCTTAAATCTGTTGCAAACTGGATACTTCAGTGTTTACTTACAGAGATCCTTCTTTTACTTCTTCAGCAGTGACATTTGATCCATCTGCTGATTGCAGCTGATCTCCCAAACTGGTTGTTAATGCATCTCCAACTAGTGTTGGTATGCAACGGTTCAGGACTGTTAAACAAAGCAAATGCATAGATATTTTAAAGCTATTTTCAATTAAGTTAAAACAGAAGGTGTTTGTGTCCTCCAAGAGTAAAATGGAATAAATAATAAGTTTCTGAAGAAATAGTGGTGCTGCATTGCAAAAGGGGGGGGGG